CAACCTTGATCTTGTGTAGCAGCAGGTGGTGTATCCCGTGCCAGTCTTTATGCAAGCATGGCAAGCGCTGATTGTATGGCAGGACCACGGGCTCCAACACCTCAGAGATGTAGCGCTGGCTGTTCAGTGTACCAGCAATGTGTACTAGAGGGGTGCGGTAGTGAAATACAATACCACCTGAAACCATGATACCGGATGCAGGGCCAGTGTGGTGATACACAAAGCAATAGTTCACAGGAGCCCCTCACCCCGGTGTCCCCAAACTCAATTCCAACCATCGTAATGTTGCAGGCAGAAGCGGGATTCTCGTCAGTAAACATAATGTCGTTCCATTCTGTTGTCCATATCTGCCGTTCATCGCGCCGTTGGCGGCGGACATGCCTGTGGTTTCCAGTCAAGGATAAACGAAGCAATGGACGTCTTGCAGACATTTCACTCTGCTGCAAACGGCGTCGAATGGTACTAGTGGACACTGAATGATGCGTAATAGACTTAATCTGTTGTGCTATGATTCGGGATGTGGCTGTGTGATCAATCACTGACATGTGCACAATCCGCCATGTGCAGTGGTGCAATGAGGGGGGGGGGCGTCTCCGTCGCTTCCTCCTGCATCCAGCGATGGCAGATTAACATCACAGTTGCTTGGTTTCGTCCAACACGTTGACCTATTTCTCTGAAGGATAATTCGCAATCCCTATAGGCTACTATTCTTCCTTGGTCAAAAGACACTCGATGTCTTCAACGAGTCATTGCGAAACAGCTTACGCAGAAAAACCCGCATGAAAAGATAATTACCGTATTTCAAATTGTCAATCTTTTCTCCCCTTGTCTAGCGCTTGCGGGTGGCGCTACGGTCTCCCGTGATGTCCTTCTGAGCTATAATGCTAATGATTTGCATGTTTCATCGCCGCCAATGTATGACGTAAATTTCATATGGTTTGCTTGCTTCCTTCAGGGTATTGCATTTTGTGTGGCTAGCAGTGTAATGACGCTTGATCAATGGAGGGCGGATTTCTTTAAGGATGAGTTCAGGTTTAGCCTCAAAAGTGATAGTAGGCGTATTTTTAATTGGAAAGAACCTGAACTCGTGTTCATCCATGATACGTCCATGAAACAAATGCATACGGATCAGGCAGTGTCTGTGTTTGGAGTGGTATCTCTTCGGGTGGACGCACATGTTTTTTCCCGTGGAAATATTAACTATCACACCTCTAGAGATGACATCCTGGTACTTATGTGAGCCCTTATGCCGGGGAGCAATAGGTGATGATTTCGTGCTACAGGAGGATAATGCGAGACCTCACAGGATTCGCATCATGGATGCTTATCTTGAACAGGAAACAATTCAGCGCATGCGCTGGTCAGCTCCATCACCGGACCTTAACCTTATCGAGCATGTTTTTAATGCTCTAGGATAACGTGTAGCTGCTCTCAATCTCTCTTCTAGGGCCCTTGCCACATTTTCAACTGCCTTGGAGGAGCAATGGCTCTTACAGAAGAAAATAGACCGCATATAATTACGAGCATCACACATCGCTGCATGTGCTGTATTGTTTCTCGGTGGATCATACCCCAAATTAAAGTTACTTTTCCTATACCAAACTGACACAGCCGATTTGTTCATTGTACACATGTGTGCTAATTTCTATAACTTCATAATTGTTCGGCGATTTCTTTTTATGCTATTTTATACCTTCCTATGTATCGTATAATGTGTATAAGTTTTATTAAATCTTCTTCGCAGAACTTTTGATTTATCGTCATTTTTGTGATTTCCCCCCAAAGTATGATAACCAGTGTATTATAATTAAAAAGAATGATTTAAATGTGTGTCACAAAACCAAATTTGTATTATAACTGAGTACACGATCAGATTGCAGAATAAATAATTTGTTTAGTGATGAACCTGAATTTAATAAAAAGTTGTACTTAATCGTTAATTTATTACAAGGTTTAAAAACTCTTAATATAAATGGAGAATGAGATTGATTGAATATTAACGTTGCACTGTTCAGCTACACGAGGGCTTTTGGCGACGGACTACGTAATTTTGAATCATGGTCAAGTGACGTGGACGACACCTGAGCTGGCACCCCCTCTCCTAACTACCACACCACACCAACGGGAGGACGTTTAAGCTCTCGGCCGATTTTACATGCATCGCTGCCCTAGACGGCGGGTCTTTAGTGTTACTGGGCTTGAACTCGTGACAAGGCAAGCCACGGTCTGATACCTATACCACTCGGCTACCGCGGCAACAAATAGAGAATGAGAGACAAAGATGTTTTTATATCTACAAATTAAATGTATGGTTAAGGTAAAAAAGGTCCTGAAATAAAAGTTTGAAAGATAAAAACAATGAAAATATATGAAACAGCGAGTTAAGGTGGATAAGAGACTTAGAAGATTTTGTAAATTTCACTTTAATTTTCTAGTATCTTCGCTTAAAAAGATATTTTTGTGTTCAGAGAGGAATCCTTTTTATGTGCCTGTAAGTTCTCCAACGTATATATGTTATCGTAAAGTGTATAATTCATATAAGTTATTTCATAGAATAGCTAGGTATTTCATGAAATAACTTGACTGGTCAGTTTAAGTAAATAATATATGAAAAAAATTCATATTTTACCTAGTTATTCTATGAAATAACTGATAGACCGTTAAAGTTAAAAATAAGCAATTTCAATGTTATTTTATAAATTAACATATAAAAAGCTACAACCTCTCTAAAAATACAATTTATCCCTATTGCGAATGATTAATTGATAAATAGAAAAGCAGATGATATCATTTATTATTGCTCATATTGCTAACATTAGTTGAGCAGAAAGAAAAAAAAAGAACACGTGTGTATGTACAATTAACTTTTCTACTCCTTGAACTTCAAGGATATCACAACGATGGAGTAACTAATAGTCTCGTGGTACTTTTTTCTGTGCTGGTTTAGCACTTTTTACTTTTGCTATCAAAGTTAATAATTTTTTTCGAGTAAGGGCGGCGCTGTTTTCCTTTGTCCCACGCTTATTTAATGAAAATTTAAATCACCCCAGCATTAAATCTTTCTTATTTACAGGTTGCTGTCCTATTCCTGCAAAATTTATTGCTTGAAAATATATAGGTTGCAAAAATATTTGTTAATAATCCGAAATGTAAAACACTAACTTACATAAGTCGCAGGGAAATGGCAAAATTAGGGTTTTCCTCAAATCCCTAAGGGAATCACGGAAGGTGTTAAAATAAAGTCTCTTTGAGGTCATTTTCCTGAGCTCATTTCCAAGCAGATTCCACACGTTGCCAAAGTTGATCTTGTGTGGCAGCTGGGGGTGTAATCTAAGTCAATCGTTGAGCAACCATGGGTCACATGTTTTCTATCGGCGAAAGATCCGGAGAGTGAGCCGTCCAGGGAAGCAATTCAATCTGATTATTGACGAAGAATCTTTAGACAATGCGTGCTACATGTGGTCGCGAATTATCCATTTGAAATATGGCTGTGGCCAAGCCTGAAGGTAAGGAAGGACAACTGACTCCAACACCTCGGAGATGTAGCGCTAACTGTTTAAAATACCGGCAATGCGTACTAGAGGAGTGAGAGAGTGATATCCAATACCGCCTCATATCATAATAGGCGGTTCAGGACCAGTGTGGCGTTGCATAACGCAGCTGTTAAGCATCCTCTCTCTCCACAGTGTCTCCAGACTCGAATCCGACCATCGTGGTGTTGCAGACATATGCATGACTCGTCAGTAAGGACAACTTCATTCTATTCTGCCACCCACATCCTTTTTTGATCCCACCATTGGCGGCGGAGATGTCTGTGGTTCTGCGTCAAGGGTAGACCAAGCAATGGACGTCTTGCAGACAGACAACTCTGCTGTAAACGGCGTCGAATGGTACGCGCATACACTGAATGATGCGTTACAGACTCAATGTGCTGTGCTACGGTTCGTGATGTGACTGAGCGATCCGTCACTGCCATGCGCACAATTTGCTTGTCCTCATGGGAAGTGGTGCACTGAGGTGGATGCGATCGACCACGCCGGTCCGTCGTGCCCTCCTGCATCCAACGGTTCACATATCCGCATTACAGTTGTTTGGTTTCGTCCAACATGACTACCGATTTCCCTGAAAGATAATCCACAACCTCGGTAGGCCACTATCCTTCCTCTGTCGAACTCGAATACTTGATCAAAAGCTGATCGCTCTTTTCTACGAGACATAACTAACCGTTCTTTGAAAAAAGCACCAGAAAAACACAATTGCCGAACTTGAAATCGTCGAAATCTCTAAGCCTTAAATAGCACGTTGAGGTGGCCCCACAGAAGTGCGTGATGTGTGTCTGCGCTGAAATTCTAATCATTTGCATATCTCACCTCCGCTAATGCATGTTGTAAATTTAATGTTATTTGCATGCTTCCTTCAAGGGGTTGGTTGCATTTACGGTGGCCAACAGTGTGGAAGCAGGGCTCCCAACAACTCAAACCTGTGACTGGCTGTGAGCAAACACAAGAGTAATCCATTAGAACCAGTCCGGAGTCTGTAGTCGCAAATAGGGCGGTGCTAACTCGGGAAAGGAAAACGAAACTAACTCCCCCGGGGGGATAACTATGACGTAAATGGTCACGTACATCTCAATGAAACATAGAGTAGTAGGTGATCCCAAAGTCTTATCCTTCTATCTCTGTAACATCGTTACGTCATCAAAAGATCGAACCCAAAAGGTAAAACATGGGGATTCTATTTTTAGTGATAACGCCCCCTCCCCTACGCCCAGTATCTACACACGAATTATAGCAGATGAAATATAGAACAACGAGGAGAACCCATGGTCCGAGTTTCATTAACGAATCTCAAAAATCCTCAAAAGATATGCGGGATTTTAAAAAAATTATAACTAAAATAATTTTAAAATGTTAATTATAGGTAAAGAAATGGGGCGATATGGTCCTGAAAAAGTATATTTCGGATGCTCATAGGAACGCAAAGCAAAGGTTAGCTGATGCGGTGGTATAGCTCAGTGGTAGAGCATTCGACTACAAATCGAGAGGTCCCGATTCGAAACCGGGTGTCCTCTTCTTCAGGGAAGTGAGGAGAAATGTTTTTTTGAGGATTTCGAAGGCGGCAATGATCTGTCCCGTTCTGTATATTGCTAGGCAAAGCATTTTCGTATACGTTCCTACGGAACACAAAGCAAAGGTTCGCTGACGTGGGTGTATAGCTCAGTGGTAAGCCAATCGACTGCAGAACGAGACGTCTCCGGTTCAAACCCTGGTGTCCCCTTCTTCAGGCAAGTTAAGAGAAATATTTTTCTGAGAATTTCGAAGGCGGGAATGATCTGTCCAGTTCTGTATATTTCTAGACAATGCGTTTTCTCATCTATGACGGTGTGCGTCACATCCGTGACGGCGTGCGCACGCATCGTAAAAATTTACCCTCATCCCATTTCTCTAACGCCCCAAAAGAAGTATAACTTCAAAAAAGCAAAAATAAGCTTTTTGATAAAAAACAAAGTGAAATAATAACTAAAAAAAAGGTGTTACAAATAAAGCAGCATATATTTCTGAAGTATTACATTAATGTAATTTTTATTTCTTTTCAAATGCGTGCTTTGCTAATTAATTTCGATTAAATAATTTGTAATTCAACTATTATTGTTATATTTCTTACTATTCTTTTAATAAGGCACCACATATTTGCTAAATAAGCACTTTTAAATTCTTGGCCATATTATTTCATCATTTCACTGAAACAGGTTAGGAATTTGATCCAATCATTTACTTTCCTTAGGGAAATCACTTTACAGAGTTCTTATTTTAACATCTTGCGTGAATTGATCCTCTCCCTTAGGGATTTGATAAAATCCCTGATTTCATCGTTTCCCCGCGACACATACACCATATAAATTCTACGTTTAAAAGCAACGAAATGAAGGGCACACACACACACACGTCACTGCAAAGAAGCTGTAATCAGTTTAAAGAACTTTCCGAGTGCTGTATTTCATACTTTAACGATCAAGTAATCGTTATTCTATGGAATACCTAGTTAAATTGTAGAATTCAATAATTTTATATGCTTTATCCCCGACTTGTTTAGTTATTTCATGAAATACCTATTTATTTTAGGAAATATATCGGATTTCACACTTTAACGGTATCATATATAACACAAGAAGAAAAGTTAAAATGTAGAAAAATGATGAATGAATGCAGAAGTGGCATTAAGAAACATGCGTAATCGTTTTATTTTTTTCATGAAAGGAAAATTTTCAATCGCTATAAAAATAAAAATTTTGGGAAACATTACCGTCTTTATTATCATGGTTTTGCAAACAACAACAACAAAAAACATTATTATAATGGGGCAAGGAAAATAGAAAGTATACTTAGCGAAATTGTTTATCCAGAATTCAACCTTTAAGTAGATATTCTGAAAAATAAGCAAAACAGAGATATGTTATTAACTACAAAATTACAATAAACAAAAAAATAAATATTAGTTTCTTTGAATAAAACCCTTTAAATTAGAACTGTAATTAATTATTTGATTATTATTAAGAAATAAATGCTCTTCTGATACACACCAACATAACTTCAGCTTAACTAGGAGCTATTTAAGTTAATTAAGATTATTTAGGAACTATTTTTTTATATATAATAAGCTCCTATTAAGTTTTAAATATATTGTGAGGTAAAAAATGTTGAAAAAACATTCTAATATAATCCCTCGTTCTTAAAAAAAAAATAGCGTGTACACCCACAAGTTTCATACAAATATATTTTTCATTTCATGTTCACATTGGTATTGGGATGAGATGTAAGTAACAAAAAGAGATTGCTTTGTGAGATTGTGTAATTTTTCATTTTTTTTCGCAGTATGTCAACAGAAAGAGAAACACATCTAATTTATATATTTTTCCATTATCTATTGATTAATGTTAATTAAATAATTATCATTTCCATATAATTGATGACAAAATGATACATTTAAGTGGACAAAAACAAATATGCTAATTTTGTAGAAAAAAAGAATTGAAGCGTTAGCTTTTACGTTTTCTGTTTTCAGTTGTCTAAAAACATGTAAGCCTGACTGTACGTACACACACAGAATGAGTCACGCAAACACGCGCATCAGCTTTTTATGCGATGACTCATTCGCATTTAAAGTTTTAAAAGTTAAGGAACACAAAACACAATTTTTTTTTAAAAAAAAAGAAAAGAAAAGAAATTACAAATTCTAAAACACACATTTCTAAGAAATTTTCTTTCCTCTTTCCCATTTCACGGAGATACGGTAGGATAAGAAAAATTTAATTTAGCAAGGTTGTGTCTGGAAGAAGTTAAATAACAATAATTAAAAGATGTTTCGTTTGTGACTTGAATTCTGCATTTCGTAGAGATTAAATGCTTGAAAATAGTTTGTAATTTAAGATAATTCTTATTTCTTCGACAGGAAATAGAATGGAAGAGAAAACATAAACAATTTCTGGGTAAATAAATTCTGTCTAAACTTTAATTAAAATTTAAAAAAAATTTTTTAGAAGGTTCTCATTTTAAGTATCTAAACACACAATCCTAGCTTCTTTTTAACTGAATGTAATGAAAACAATATGATACAAGTTCAGTTATGGGGTTTTAGTTTCTTAAAAGTTTTATAACATTTCGTGATATATTTTTAAGTAATACATCGAAGTTGCTTAATCGGTGGGGTCAAGAAACAATGCAAATCGAAAAAATATGCACCCAAAAAATCTGCAGTAAAATGTTAGAACTTTTTAGATTTAATTTAGATTTAAAATTGAAGATTTCAATGATTCTGAATGTATTGAGATGGAAAATTTCACCACTGAGGCAAGGGGTTGCCTTTTCTGTCATATCAACAAAGAATGCTGTCACGTAACATTATCTATATCTTTTTAACGTTCTTTGTATGTGGAATATAATTTTTGGTTTAATAAATAATAAAAAAGGACAAATTCGTATTGTTTAACTTTTTAATATGCCAACGAATTATATATTTATAATAGGAACGGGGCATAGCGGGAAGTTATTTATACTGCTGGCCTCCGTAAATCCAACCCCCTGAAGGAAGCATGCAAATAACATGAAATTTACAACATGCATTAGCGGAGGTGAGATATGCAAATGATTAGAATTTCAGCGCAGACACACATCACGCGCGCCTGTGGCGCTACCTCAAAACGCTATTTAAGGCTTGGAGATTTCGACGATTTCAAGTTCGGCAATTGTGTTTTTCTGGTGATTTTTTCAAAGAACGGTTAGTTATGTCTCGTAGAAAAGAGCGATCAGCTTTTGATCAAGTATTCGAGTTCGACAGAGGAAGGATAGTGGCCTACCGAGGTTGTGGATTATCTTTCAGGGAAATCGGTAGTCATGTTGGACGAAACCAAACAACTGTAATGCGGATATGTGAACCGTTGGATGCAGGAGGGCACGACGGACCGGCGTGGTCGATCGCATCCACCTCAGTGCACCACTTCCCATGAGGACAAGCAAATTGTGCGCATGGCAGTGACGGATCGCTCAGTCACATCACGAACCGTAGCACAGCACATTGAGTCTGTAACGCATCATTCAGTGTATGCGCGTACCATTCGACGTTGTTTAGAGCAGAGCGGTCTGTCCGCAAGACGTCCATTGCTTGGTCTACCCTTGACGCAGAACCACAGACGTCTCCGCTGCCTATGGTGCAATGAAAGAAGAATGTGAATGGCAGAATGGAATGAAGTTGTCTTTACTGACGAGTCGCGCATCTGTCTGCAACACCACGATAGTCGGATTCAAGTCTGGAGATACTGTGGGGAGAGGATGCTAAACAGCTGCGTTATGCACCGCCACACTGGTCCTGCACCGATTATTATGGTATGCGACGGTATTGGATATCACTCTCGCATTCCTCTAGTACGCATTGCCGGTACTTTAAACAGCCAGAACTACATCTCCGAGGTATTGGTGCCAGTTGTCCTTCCATATCTTCAGGGTTTGCCCACAGCCATATTTCATCAGGATAATGCATGACCACACACGGCACGCATTTTCCAAAGGTTCTTTGTCAATCACCAGATTGAATTGCTTCCCTAACCGACTAGCTCTCCTGATCTTTCGCCGATAGAAAACACGTGTTCCATAGTTGCTCAAGGATTGACCTAGATTTCACCCCAGCTGCCACACCAGATCAACTTTGGCAACGTGTGGAAGCTGCTTGGTCTGCTGTACTCCAAGAACACATCCAAAGTCTCTTTGAATCAATGCCGAGGCGTGTGGCAGCAGTGATCTACAACAATGGTGGCTACTCTGGCTAATGATTCTGGCAGGAACCACACTTCACAGAAGTCTATAAATTGAATCATTTGATACTTGGTCAACATTTTATCAAAATAAATTTTGTTTTGCTATCTCTTGTCTTTCTTTGTGTTGCATTTACCGTAGCCAGCAGTGTACTTCTTAATTTGCGTAGGTCACTATGCATAAATCAGGGGAAAAGCTACATATTTCTCAAATATCTGCAAAATTAAAATTTAGTTTTACATTTTAGACAAGAAAGAAAAAGATTGAGAGAGAAAGGAGTTATATAGCAGGGGATAACGTAAAGTGCTAATCATTAGAAATAGTAATCATAGAAACTTAGTTTTTATTTGTTATTGTTAAGACTTCGCTACCTTGCTAGCATGTAAAGCTTTACGTTTCTCACAGGGATTCTTGACCTGTCAAAGCCCATCGTTGTAGAACTCAGCAGAATACATCGAAAACCATTGTTCCATTTCTTGAATTACATAATTTATTTTGTTAAATACTCGAACCTGCAAACTGTTTTTTAATTTCTGGGAATATAATAATAAAACAAATCACTTGGGAAGAGATCTGAAGAATAGGGTGGATATTGAAAAACTTCAATGTCGCTTTGATTTTTCAACCACATCTGGAGATGAGTGAGCAGGTACATTATCACCATGAAGATGAAAGAGAAAGTACCGCACTTTTTCATGATTAGAGTATTGCGCAATTTGTTTAATTGCGTAATTAATAGACACTAGGGATGTCTGAACCTTTTCCA